AGTTAATCCGGAATGGAAATGCACCAATCTGTTTTTTAAGACAAGTTTCTTGCATGATATTAATATCTCCCCTTGCACAACACGTACAGTAATTTCATCGGGGTTTGTTTCAGTGTTCATTAGCAATATTACAGCGATATCACGGCGGGGGACACCAGAAATGGGCTTCACACATTGTACCCATGTCGGGAATCGAACCGGGGTCGTCGGCGTGACGAGCGAACGCTTTAACTACTAGGCTATTGTCGGGGTAGAATAGGTCTTCAGCAACCCATGCTTGTCATAAATTGCGACTATGCTTGTCGTAAGAGGTGACTAACGGGATCGGGTGGTCAGGCTCGCTGAGTTGGTTGATGCATGTCAGCGATCCCAATTGCGTGGATCGATGCTCATGATGTCAGTCTCTGGGATGTGGACCAGGCTCGATTATTCAGTTGCAGTTGCCCCCCTAGATCTAAGCCTTCATCACTTCGGGCTTTCCTCCCACATTAAGCTGACACGCCGTGATATGACTGGAATAATGTTCAAAGCGGCATTAAACCCAGCTATGTCACTCACGCTTCAAGAACAACATATACGAGCTTCACTTAGGCCTACTAAAATGGGGATCGATAGGGCAATATAGCGACCACGTATGAAAGTACGTGGATGCATGCGTGACCACCGAAATAATCACCAGGTCTCAACGGCATTTGTAACTGTGTCTGACATTTTCGTGTAAAGCGCATTATCTATGCATTGTTGGAGGCGATATCCTTCACTTCTCAAAGGCGCAGATATATTTGAACTAAAACAGAGGTTCTATCAGGAACTCCGTGTAAACGGTGAGCGGGTTATAGGAGAAAACAGACATCCAATTCGTATAGAAAACAATTTAATTTGTTCATGTGTAGATGTGTGTTAACAAGTATAAGCGACATCTTACAGCACCTTCCGTATCCGTGACTGACGGCAAAACCTGTTTAATGGAAATTCAAAATATTATGGTGCATTCGTCTCTCTCTCTCTCCCTCCCTCTCTCTCTCTCTACTTCCCTCTCTCTCTCTCTACCTCCCTCTCTCTTTCTCTCCCCCCTCTCTCTCTCTACCTCCCTCCCTCCCTCCCTCTCTCTCTCTCTCTACCTCCCTCCCTCTTTCTTTCCCCCCCTCTCTCCCTCCCTCCCCCCTCTCTCTCTCCATTTGTATCTATACATCTACAGTATCTATCTGCTCATCCTTTATCTATGGTATCTATATATCCATCTATCTGTCCATCTATAGACAGTATCTATCCATCTATCCGCAGTATTTATCTATATATCTACATTATATATCTATATATATACAGTATATACTAGTATCTGTCCATCCATCTATCTACGGTATCTATATGTCTGTCTCTCTATCCATCCATCCACAGTATTTATCGATATATCTACATTATCTATCTATCTATCTATCTATCTATCTATCTATCTATCTATCTTATCTTATCTTATCTTATCTTATCTTATCTTATCTTATCTTATCTATCTTATCTTATCTATCTAATCTTATCTATCTAATCTTATTTTATCTATCTTATCTTTCTTATCTTATCTATCTTATCTTATTTTATCTATCTTATCTTATCTTATCTTATCTTATCTATCTTATCTTATCTATCTTATCTTATCTATCTTATCTTATCTATCTTATTTTATCTATCTTATCTTATCTTATCTTATCTTATCTATCTTATCTTATCTATCTTATCTATCTATCTATCTATCTATCTATCTATCTATCGAACCTTACTATTAATCATACGTATTCTACATTTATCGGTATGGTATAAGGGTTACTTTGATCCATGTAAACATGTTTCCCTGAAGATAGATATATCAAAACGGAGTTATTTGGATAATTTGGTCAACATCTGGTGTATTGTAGTGTAGAGTGTATACGTCATCTGAATAACTTCCACACACGTCAGATAATCACAAACAGGGAACGTGCCAAAATGATGTTATTTCCGCGTTGCTGTGGAGACAGTATTCGCACGTGACAATAGACATTCACTCTGGGTTGGTGCCTGCGTTGTCGCACATGTATAGGGACAGTGTGGTGTCGATTCCTGATTTTTGTCCATATAATGCGCAATATTATGTATTTACGACTTAGCAAGTGCAAATTTGTTTTTTAAAGAAATATGTCAATAGACATAGACATATTTATTACCCTAAAATAACAGGCGGTAAACGCCTAACATGTCAAGGTGACCTCGCTTCCTTTGTACGTGGGTACGCTACACTCATCTCGGTTAAAGGATTAGATGTAGGAAAGTTGATCAGGAATACGATACATTATATTAACGTTTTCCAATCGGTTTGAGGGGCGGTCGGGTAGCCGGTGGTTAAAGCGTTCGTTCGTCACGCCGTAGACCCGGGTTCGATTCCCGACATGGGTACAATGTGTGAAGCCAAAATCTGGTGTCTCCCGCCGTGATATTGCTGTAATATTGCTAAAAGCGGCGTAAAACCAGACTCACTCACTCCCAATGGGTTTGAGATTTTGTTTGTTAATTACGATACTGCTTGAATCATTTCGAATGGCTTGCTCGATAACGATTAAATGGAGATACAATAAACAGGCTAATCGAGGAATTTCGGACGTAGTTCTTAATCGTGTATAGTTTTTTTTTATCGCCATTAATTCGGTTTTTGAGCTCGGATTGTACACACATTTCATTTGTTGGAAATAAGAAGAAATACTTGTGATCGTAGTAACTAAGTTGAAATTTTAAGATACTAAGTTGAAATTTCAAGATACTATCGAAAAAATTAAAAAAACCAAATGGTCCTAAAAGGCTTCCGTAGTAATGTCCGGAATAAAAGAAATATGAAAAGGCAGTGCAAGAGTATGGCCAGTTTTGTATACAATGTATTCGCCGAAACAGATTTAATTTGGCTGTGACATTTTTATGACTGGACCATTGGAATTCAGTGGTGACGTTATATAATAGACGGTTGTGTAACGACAATGCTTCGTTATATAAAACGTGGACTATATACAGCGAATGTAACCATGTGAATATATTAATACCAATCCTTGATTGTTATACGACAGGGAAAAGAGCAGAGTTAACGGTCCTTCATGCGTGCCCGGATACGCTGCTCGTGGCCTCAAATTCCATATTCGCACCTTGTTTTGTCAGCACCATAGGGACGTAGGATTCGCCAAAATGGTTAACGTCTATGACCTGTGCAACTTTGGGACCTTCCTCCGACATCAAGATGACACGACGTGATATAATGGCTACACTGGTCTGACCGGGATACAACATGGGTTCATCTGTGTAGTACTTTACAGGTCTTTTGTTAAAAACATAATTAATATTGATCGTTTTGGAAAATAAACAATTCGACTTTGTATTCGTCGACACACTGCAGTTAACCGTGTCCATTCTATGAACATTGCTTTAAAGATTTGTTTCAATATCTCTGTGGTAACATAATCCATGATAGATAATATCAAATATATATTTATATACACACAGATACGCACACATATCTATCTATCTATCTATCTATCTATCTATCTATCTATCTATCTAAAAGGGGCTGATGGATAGCCTAGTGGTTAAAGCGTTCGCTGGTCACGCCGAAGACCCCGGTTCGATTCTCGACATGGGTACAATGTGTGAAGCCCATTTCTGGCGCCCCGTGCAATGATATTGCTTGAATATTGCTAAAAGCGGTGTAAAACCATACTCACTCACTCATCCAACTAAAAATGTCAACAGCACATACCATATAATTCCATTACATCATGTACATTACACCATGTTCATATTAAGAATACATTACAATTACATTATTATGTTTTTCCCAATTCACATACAGACCAGGCTGTATATATACCTGACTATTTCGTGTGTAAATTTAGGTGCATATAAACCGATGTTCCTGTTCGGTAGATTTATATAGAGGTGTTCAGAAAGCTTTGTATCAGGATTTGGATTGCTCTATTTGCTAACTGTGTCCTGTTTCCAAGAATTCGGATTGTGGGTGTATATATAAAGCTAAAGGGATGATTGCTGCTTAAACAGTGTCACGTTTGAATCTGCCGTACGTTTGGGATCAATTGCAACATAAACTACAATAGTCTGGTGAGATTTGTTATTATTATTACTATTACTATTGTTATTACTATTACTATTATTATTATTATCATCATTATCATCATCATCGCTACTACTACTACTACTACTACTACTACTACTACTACAACTACTACGTTGAAGTATCTACCACATTAATAACTTTCCAGCAGTGCATATACTATAGACATAATTCGGCTATTAGAACCCTTGTCAGGCCCATTAGCCATCGTCAAATGTTTGACGGTCATTATCACTCATATTTCACAACCAGTTTCAATACATTCAGAGGTCAGTAGTGTCTCGCGGGAGCGGTAGCTAACATCTGTTTTAATTAAATTGATTTCACTACTGACACATTTTCGAGTCAATGATAATTTAAAACCGGCATGTGATCGCTTTCATAGCGGCGCTATTTTATGGATGAATATGTTCATGATGTTTTTAATTATTGAACAACACGGGGCGTTGTTGTTATTATAATGTATTTTTAACTGATCATCAATTCAATTTTCTTCAAGTGTTTGTATATATTTTTCAAAGTTAATATAATCATTTTGGTCAGTGAAGCATGCAAAGCGACTTCTACAACAACGTGCTACTCCTACAACAACAACAACAACAACAACAACTACCACTACTACTACTACTACTACTACTACTACTACTACCACCCCTAGTACAAATATCTTCCTACTGAAATATCATTCACCTCTTTCGTAATCTAATTTTGTTCCCTCTTAAAAATTAAATTGCCTTACCCCTTTCATTGTTTGCAATTTGAAGCGCTCATTGCATGTTATTGACAGAGAAATGTATTGCGTCATAGAGGATATACGCATTCATTCATCAGTTCTTCAACCAATCAAATTTCGTTTCAGGTTTTGACGTCACCCTTTCTGTGAAGCGCGAGTTACTTGTCTGACCGAACCGACAACACATCACCTCGTTCGTATTCGTCGTGTTTTGGACTAAACCACAGCCACAGAGATGGAAGAGGTGAGTAAATTCTACTGTTTACATCTTTTGAACATTTATATTGATCGAAACATGTTCAGAAGTCTTGATATTACTGCAACAGCGAAGTATTTCTATATGACATCTCTTACCACGTTGAGCCTCGTCACACATGGGAAAAACAGCCAATGGATTGACGGCGAAACGACACACCTTCGCTTAACAAGTCAAACATTTACGTCTGCCACCATGCTCCCTAAATGAAATTGAGCAACCTTACTGAATATCAGTATACATGGTACTTTAATTAACCGCATACCTTTGATATATATACCGTTATGATTAGTTGTTTTCCACTAAGTAAATCCGATTTCGTTTGCCATTCCGCATTTTTAACGGTGAAGGTCATTTAGCTGATACATTCTCGCATATATTGTCTCGAACACAGAATGGCCATGCACATCGTCAGATATCTGTTTTAAATATCACCCAGTTTATTTATCGTCCTGGTTCCCAAACTAGGGAGAAACGGACACTGAGCAGATCGCCGACAGTGAATTTCCGATACAATGGCGGGCAATACATCTTGTCAAAGCGCCAGTCCCACAGAGTGCTGGTTTGTAAACACGGGTTTCTCGCGTACAGACATGAATGCGATTCCAGCCTTCTGTTTGAGAATAGTGTTACAACTTCGTCTAAGTGTATGGTAAACAATAGAAACATATTTCTTTGTATACAGCACAAACCACACATCTCGTCCATATTGTAAATGTTTAAATCGCATATTTCTCGTGACAGTGCTCGAAATGTATAGGCCTACTCGGATCTGCTAGGCCTTGTGCGCTGTCTTAAAATCATTGTTCAAAATTAGGCCTAGTATCTCCTTTTAATTTTATGATGTTCTGAGGACTGGAAGTGAACATTTTACCACATATTTGCCTGACCCCATCATCACTAAATTCGTTTAGATCATTAACATGTTTAATGTGTATTTTAAATATGAAAATATTCTTATAAATAATCGCTTCATTGGATGTAACTAAATTCGCACTTTGAAGCGAATTTGATTAAATCGAAATTATGATTGTTTACGAAGTTGATTGATTAAACAATTTTCACTGATGTAAAGTGTTAAAACGCCAGATTGGGTTCTTTTATGGGTAGACCAATGCATGTATGTTTGTATTGATTGGTATCTCTAAGAATATTTGACATTCAGTGCCCTTGGGTGTGCGTCTCTTGTCGAACCAATGAGCTGTTTACATTGAGAACACACCTCTGCAGGTTGTGGTAATATTGCGTACAAAGCTCTTGTGGCACGCCTGGCTCACTCCACAGTCAACCAAACGATTCAACAACACACAATTTTATCAAATGGTAGCCGCCATACGACTTCATAAGTTTCTATTATACTTATATACGGCTTTGAAGTTATAATAGTATATAACGAGCGCTGTGGCTCTTAAAAAGGAACCCCTCGCTCGGCCCCAGAATACCATCAACAACAACGCCAGCGCCTAGTGATGATGAAATAGCTTGGCGCAGCGCCAATTTTTAAGCCCACCATGCGCCGGCTGCTACGAGAATCGATTTCCTTGCAACAAAAGGAGGTATGGACTTATTCTCGGTGTTCATTGGTTGAAATTGACACACCCACACGTGCACACCCCCGAGGGAAATGGGTGCATGTCAACCAGTGTGACATTGACGCAAGCAAAATTAAAAATAAGTAATTCTGAAGCCAGCTGGTCATTCAACTGTCGACGCACTATGTTGTACCGATACGGTTCTCTGAACATGTATGTATGACTCTAATACGTCAGTGGGGACAATGAGAACGGCAACCTTCTAACTTTAATATCACCGTGTGTCAGCATAATTTAACCGACGTGAAATTGTGAAGTATTGACCGACCCCTCTCCTAAAAAAACTTAAGCTTAAAATGGAAGTATTAAAACCACTTCACCTATGATGTATAGCAATGGGTATCCCCCTCTTGGTCTCTCCTGTGACAAATGGGCTGATGTTATTTGTTGCGTATACACAGAGCTTAATAAAGACCAATTGAATACATTACATTACGGGGGGGCAGGAGTGGCCGAGTCGTCTAAGGCGCCGCGATTCGCTGTGCAGAGTTGCGTCCCTTGGGCACGCCAGAAACCTATGATTGTGGGTTCGAATCCCGGTTCGTCCCGATTATGTTTCTAGGTTTGTCAGCACCATACCCGTGCTCGTGGGTTTCACCGAACTGGTAAACGTCTGAGACCTGCATCACTCCGGGCTTTCCTCCCACATTAAGCTGACACGCCGCGATATAACTGGAATACTGTTAAAAGCGGCGTAAAACCCAACTCACTCACTCACTCATTACATTACGTCTTAAACAATGAATGTATTGTTAGTGTTTATAACAAGGAAGTCATCTGTGACAAGGAACTGATGCCTAATAATAAACCAGATATGGCCCCAAAGGAAATTATCTGTAATGCACATCATCACAGTTGGTCTTGTCTGTCGCCCAGACCCTAGAGAAAGTATTAAACTTGAATCCAACAAAAATAATTTGGCAAGTCTAGATTGCCCGTTTCAGAAATTAAACATTAATGTGGGTCCATTTGTATTTTACTTTCTTTTTTGTATATCTATACTAGTTTATATTATTGAAGAAATTTATTTTTCTGGGACTAAAATATATTCTTTAGGTGGTCTGTCGTAGATATGTATCGGTTTGAGATGAAACGTTATTGATGAAGATGTGTCTGTGCTTGCATTGTCATCCGGGGATTCAGCCATTGTTGTCGTGCTGTGAATCAATGTGTTGATATTGCATCAGCGAGAAGAGGACGTCGTCACATTCACACACATATCCGCCGCCTCCGTGGTCTTGTGGTAGAGCGTCCGCCCGGAGAGCGGAAGGTCCGGGGTTCGATCCCCGGCCGCGTCATACCAAAAGACGTTAAAAGATGGTACTTGTTGTTACCCTGTCTGGCGCTTGACATTAAGGGGCTAAAACAAGGACTGGTCGTCTCGGAGTCAGTATACTGTGTCTGAGTGGGGTATTCATGTTAAACTGCGGCATGGTATCTCAGTGAGCTAGCACTATAAATCGGCATCAGTCCGGACTAGTACAAGCAGCCACACACACACACACACGTGCATGCACGTCGCTGTATAAGTGCAATAATCTTGGGCGTGCCCAAGGGACGCAACCCTGCACAGCGAATCGCTGCGAGTCCTGTTTTAACAGAAGTAGATATTTAGCCATATATCTTAATGTAAAAAATGTTGAAAGTGTTTTGAACGCCTAGTTCGTATTTCTACAGTTCTTTGTTAGTTGGTTGGTTGTTTAACGCCACACTCAGCAATATTCCAGCTATATGAGGGCGGTCTGTAAATAATCGAGTCAGGACAAGACAATCCAGTGATTGATATCATATCATAAGCATCGATCCACGCAACTGGGATCGATGACATGCATCAACAAAGTCAGCGTTTGAAACCACCCGATCCCATTTCGAAAAGCATAGTCGCCTTTTACAGCAAGCATGGGTTGCTAAAGACCTATTCTACCCCGGGTCTTCACCCGTTTAGTTCTATGTAGTTTGTATGATTTTTTAGACTTTGTTATGCGATCAGATTTATTTGCATTTTATGTACCCATTACGAAATAGAAGTGGTTGGGCAGCAAAGTGACATTATTCCTTTGTGACAAAGGGTTCGATTTCCTTATTTTGGTCAAATATGTGGGCACATTCTTGTTGCCGCCGACACACTCTGTAGCAGGAATATAGTTTGGTGCGGATAAATCCGTAGGAATTAAGTTAAGGTGAGTATTGACGCAACGTAGGCATTTCCAACTACCCGCGAGTCACCGTCATTTCTCAAACGAGTCTTGTGTCAATACGACGATTGCGCCCCGCTTTTTGCAACTGTCCCTGTGTGTTACGACGTGGCGTTGTAAGTCTACTCCAGCAGACTCGACAGCTACGTGCAGAAGGGGGAAGCTGTGAGGGGGGTTGGGGGTCAGTCACAATGTGTTCAGCGTCTTGTGTGCACGTCCCAGCAGAGGTCGTCCAACAAACAAACGCTGGGATGGATGTATTTGCACGACACATTTCTTGAATGCCGGCCGTGGTTCTGCTTTCAAACCTGCTGTTTACACACAAGGTCACTGTCACCGAAAACGGCGCGTTTTGGCGACATGATTCCTGGTGAGGCAATGTATCTTGTCAGCTTCTTTCTACAAGGATGTTCAACGCTTTCGTATATTCTATTTTTCGCGCAGCTTCAGGTGATCTTGTCGTCTATAAGGCCCCGAATTTGGCTATGCAGAGTTACGCCCCTTGGTCGTGGGCAGAATCCTATGATCGTTGGTTCGAAATTCAGATTCGTCCAGATTATGATTTTCTCATCCACGTCTGCTCGTGGTTTTCAACAAGTTGTATACGTCTTATACCTCACCTTAAATGGACTCGCTTGAGTTAATCCTACGGTATGCTTGTTACCAGTGAAGATGCGGGTTAGAATTGATCTGCAGCAACCCATGCATGTCATAAGGGGCGTATAACGGAATCGGGTAGTCATGCTCGCTGACTTGGTTGATACATGTCATTGATTGCGTAGATCGATGCTCATGGTATCAATGCCTGGATTTTCTGGTCCAGACTCGATTATTTACAGGCCGCCGTCATATGGCTGGAATATTGCTGAGTGGGGCGTTAGTTTTTGGTTTTGGTTTGGTTTATTATTCAACTCTGCAATAGTCTAGCTTTATGACGGCGGTCTGTAAATAATCGAGTCTGGACCAGACAATCCAGTGATTAATATCATGAGCATCGATCCACGCAATTGGAGCGATGACATGCATCAACCAAGTCAGCGACTCTGACCACCCGATACCGGCGTTAAACAACAAACAAACAATGGTTTGTCTGGTCCAGACTGGATTAATACAGGCCGCCGGGGAATAACTGGGATATCGCTGAGTTTTAGCCTTATATCACGAACAAAAAACAACAAAAACTGTCCAGCTTTAATGTAAGCAATTTCAAGTCCGTCACAACTGGTCGAAATACACCGGGTCTACAAGGAGTGGAGAGTATGTCTCGCTTATATACCTATATATACATGGTTCAAAGCACTTGGATACCAAATATAACACAAACGGCCGTGGTGTGTGCCGATACACTGTAAACAGTTCTCAAATTGTAACATCTGGCAGACGGCGTGATGGTTTTAGAAAGCACTCAATGCAGTCGGAGAACCAAAACATCGTTAGCATTCATGCCGTTCCTTGTTTACGAGGACCGTCTTGTAGAGCAGCGCAAGGGCGAGTAGCGAGGAAAACTAACGCCGAATATTAATTAGCATATATGTTCCATGACGTTCATGGGAGCATATATTAAGTGCAGTTTTATGCGGTTGCACCCTAAGACAGCTAATTGGAACCATTAGCTGTAAATCTCGTCACGAAACAGCGATATTTATAGACAACCTCGTCTGGCTGAAGGTTATTTTCGTTGAAGGTCGTTTTGGAAATACGTTGGAATGTACACTTGTTCAGTAGAACTTGTTATTGGTAGGTTGTGCAGGATGTAATCACTTCAATATAAATAATACAATTTAATTCAGTTGATGGACGATCAGACACTAGATGGTACTGTTTAACCTTCCTGGTTTGTCCTTGTCCACAATTACCAGAAATCAATATTACTTCACTGTGTGTACAGCGTATTGATTTTGTGCAACGAAAAATCTGCCTGTTAAGCACTATTACGACCTTTACAAATGGGTGAATGATTAAACCTCGACAATTTTAACATGTATCATTGATACATACAATCAATTACTTGATAACCAACTGGTAGCACATGATTTCAGTCGTGGAAACAAAGGCTGGCTATCAATCTTCTTTGTCTGCACCACGTACTTTCAGACCCCACTCGAACGCCCCCATGGTGTAGTGGATAGAGCGTCTACCCGGGGAGCGGGAGGTCGGTGTTTGATCCCCGGCTGCGTTATACCAAAAGACGTTAAAAGATGGTACTTGTTGGGCATTAAGGGTGTACAGCAAGGACAATTCGGTTCGAAGTCAGCATACTGTAACCTGAAGGAGTTATCCATGTTAAACTGTAACTGTGGCATGGTATGTAGGCGAACACTATCAGACCGACGTTAGTCTAGTCGTGTGTACAAGCAGGCGCATGCGCATATACCCCAACCCCTACACTTTGCAAAACTGGGCCAGGCAATAACAACCGAAATGCGCAACTTATTTTGTGCGAAACGAAACGGAATGAGGTAAATATTATTAAAATATAGATTGCACATGCTCACACACTCCCTTGCTAAACCATGATGGTCTCCATCAAAGACAATCAACATCAAATTCGAACAAATATCGAACTATTAACACTGAACACTAGGTTAAGAATCCTGAGAACTTTACTGGGACGGAATGTAAACTGGTCAATCGTTAACTGACTGACAATGTCCTGAGTAATGTCACTTCAACACTGATTTCGGCTCGTTGTATGAATTAGAATGCTTGCCAGCATTTACTCTCGGAGACTGAGGCAGCAGCGGTGGTTTGAGGGATAACATCAACAGCTTGTAACACCCCTTGGAAATACACACAAGTCAAAGTCGCTATCGTCGCCCGAAGAAAGGCTCTCGATGTCACCAAAACGCTCATTATCAGAATCCATAAGGGTCTCAAAAGCGTTCTGGGGGGCACGGGTGGCCCAGTCGTCTAAGGCGCCGCGATTCGCTGTGCAGAGTTGCGTCCCTTGGGCACGCCAGAAACCTATGATTGTGGGTTCGAATCCCGGTTCGCCCCGATTATGTTTCTAGGTTTGTCAGCACCATACCCGTGCTCGTGGGTTTCACCGAAGTGGTAAACGTCTGAGACCTGCATCACTTCGGGCTTTCCTCCCACATTAAGCTGACACGCCGTGATAAGACTGGAATACTGTTAAAAGCGGCGTTAAACCCAACTCACTCACTCACTCAAAAGCGTTCTCTGGCTTGGTGGGCAGTTGCTGATACTGACCCAGGACCACACGGAGAAACCGACGTTTCACAGTTCTTGTTTCACCATATCCATCAGCTGGTCCAACCACATGGACACCAGAATCAAGTCTCTCTACAACATTATAGACACGACTGTCCCAAGCATCTTGAATATTATTCCGACCTGCTGGACGATTCCGCAACCACACTCTTTGACCAACAGACAGAGGTAATTCCTTGGCAAGATAATCATGAGCATCTTTCCTTACAGCAGCCTCTGCCCTCTGATCCCCTACTTGTTGATAAGCCAGGCGAAGAGCCCCTACTTGTTGATAAGCCAGGCGAAGACCCCCTACTTGTTGATAAGCCAGGCGAAGACCCCCTACTTGTTAATAAGCCAGGCAAAGACAAGGTTGATGTAAGCTGACACCTTCCTTCATCCCATGGATCAAAACCTCTGTTGTGAACTACCGTCCTTACCTATCCTACCTGTGTTGCAACTGTCCTATTCGCAGAGCCAGCTTCTCCTTATAGTTAAAAAACGCACATCACTCCCATTTAATGTCTGTTTATTCGTAGAATAAAGATGAGAAGGGTTGGTGAATTACAGGGTTGGGTAAGGGCCCAGTACACCAAGCCTGCCTCTGACTAGAAAACCTGAAAACACAAAAACAAGTTGACAATGCCTTAGCATCAAATAACTGACAAATAAATTCTGACATAGTACTCTATGATACTCAGTATACAACAATACTGATATATTTATCAATGATGTTACCGTTATCTCCATGAAGTAGCAATTAATACTGACACAACAAACCATATCTGAAAGTATCAACTTAATGCAATGATAAACAAAAGTGTATTAGTGTATAATGGCTAGGCAGCCCTACATTAAATGAAAACAGAGCAATGTGAAATACCTATGTATAAGGTCCCAAAAAATAATTATTTAGCAGGGGAATAACTATTGTGGTTATTAAAATACTTACTTGGAATATATTTGAGGCGGAATGTAACAAAGTTAGGCAGCGTGCATTGTCATGGGTGTTTATGCAAAACTGGGCCAGGCAATAAAAACCGAAATGCGCAACTTAGTTTGTGCGGAAATGGATTGAGGAAAATATTATTATAATATAGATTGCACATGCTCACATGAGGATAAGTTGATGTGACATTTCTTTTTTAATTAAAGTTCGACTTATTACAAAGTCAGTGATGTAGCCAAACTTTTAGAAAAAAGCTACTAAAGCATACGAACATTTTGTTTCCACTTCATGTGTCGAAAAGCAGATCCCCGCTTCATGTGTATATTATACGGCGCTTCGTACAATGTTTATTCTACCATGAATTTGGAATTTACTCGATTCTGATTGGTAAATCAGAGGCTATTAAATCACAATAAACCCCCTCTTATTGAAACAGCTGGTTTGACGGCCGCATCACCGCAGAAGCTATTATTCATAGAATAAGTACTATTTTCAGTCATTGTCGGTAGGCATATTTAAATAACTATATCTACAATTACAGGTTACAAAATGCACAGATGCGGTTACTACAATATTCAAAGGATGTGTGGTAATACATTTTGTGCAGAAAAACACGACAGAAATCAACAAAGGGAATGTATTTACGTTTTGGACACAACAGCGAGCTTGAAAGTTTGGCGCTTTTCTATATACGACTGTGACGTCATATCTTTTGCGTCACAATGAGTGATATGACGTCATAATGGTGACGCGCGATGTAGAGCGAAAGCCTTGCGAAGCTTGCTTTGTTTTCTTTAGGGATGCCCACCTCAGGTTAGTTGCCGTGCTTATATGCTTTCAATGCCTATCATATGTTTGAGTGAAGTATTACGGTGTAAACAAACTGCTTGAGTATATACATCACCATATTTGTTCGGTGATTCCGTAATTCAGATCGATAACCCACTCAAAACACTGAACTCAACCCATGCCGCTTCACTCAGTATATTTGCTAACACCAAAGAGATCGCGTTTTATTTTGTCATGGTAGAATGGAGATAAACATACTGTGTTTTCAATGTAGAGCTAGGTTAGAGCTGCGCGTTCGGTTCCAAATTCAATTTAGCGGGGTTAAATCTACAGGTAACCTAGCTCTACATTGAAAACACAGTATGTTTATCTCCTAATTATTTCGTCTTCACAACTATATTACTCACAATACAATACGACGTTTCCGTTTCTGGAATGACACGGTCATAATTAGTGAGGGGTCTAAGGGAGATAACTCTACAATTTCGCCGACATTAAAATTGACAGAATTTGTTAGTCAGCAAAACGACCGTTCCCATGAAAGTAATCGTATACTGATACGTTAATTTAAACAGCACGCTTTGAATGTTTTAAACAAAGAACTTCAGCTAAAGATTTCTTTGATTTTGTTTCAGAGAGAAATCAATTACACGTTCACCCTCATCTTCAGTATTACCATTGCTGTGTTTGGAAACTCCTTCCTGTATGGGTATCAGATAGGCGTTGTCAACACACCTTCACACGTGAGTATTTCATTATCGTCAGTTTTACTTAGATAACACATGTTATTTTCTTTTAAAGAATTAGAAAGAGTTTAATATAACAAATGACTATCTATGCCTGATGTGTCAATATGTTGGTTGGTTTGTTGTTTTACGCCGCACTCAGCAATATTCCAGCTATATGACGGCGGTCTGTAAATAATCGAGTCTGGACCAGACAATACAGTGATTAATATCATGAACATCAATCCACGTGATTGGGATCGATGACATGCATCAACCAAGTCAGCGAGCCTGACCACCCGATCCCGTTAGTCGCCTTTTACGACAAGCATAGTCGCCTTTTACGGCAAGCATGGGTTGCTGAAGACGTCGTAATAAGCGCCGTGAATGAAACTGACACATTATGTCTCAGACTGTATAGTTCAATTAATCACGAACAGCCAGATTGCCGTGTAATGATGTTAATCAATACCACTGTAGCATGTTAATGAGCACACCAATTCACACGTCTACATGGGCGGTTGGGTAGCCTAGTGGTTAAAGCGTTCGCTCATCACGCCGAAGACCCGTGTTTGATTCCCGACATGGGTACAATGTGTGAAGCCCATTTCTGGTGTCCCCCGCCGTGATATTGCTGGAATATTGCTAAAAGCGTCGTAAAACAATACTCACTCACTCACACGTCTACATTACAAGAGCCAATGGTTTAGCCTTGTGGGTAAAGCGTTCGCTTCTCATGCTGAAGGCCCGGGTTCGAATCTTGACATGGGCGCATTTCTGGGTTCCATGCAGACCGCCTCCGTTGTCTAGTGGTAAAGCGTCCGGCCGGAGAGCGGAAGGTCCGGGGTTTGATGATGATCCCCGGCCGCATCATACCAAAAGATGTTAAAAGATGTACTTGTTGTTACCCTGTCTGGCGCTCGGCATTTAGGGGTTAAAGCAAGGACTGGTCGGCTCGGAGTCAGTATACTGTGTCTGAGTGGGCTATTCATGTTAAACTGCGGCATGGTATCTGTGGGCTAGCACTATAAATCGGAATCAGTTTAGTACAAGCAGCCACACAGCCACACACACACACACACACACACACACACACACACACACACACACGAGCATGCACGTCGCTATATAAGTGCAATAATCTTGGACGCGACGTGAACCCAATTTCACCTCACCTGGGTTCCATGCAGTGATATAGGTTGAATATTGCTAAATGCAACGTGAACCCATAGTCACTAACTCTACATCACACAGTTTCTTCCTTTATTGGTAATGTGGAACAGTGTATTGTGGAATTTCTTCATACTTTTCATGATTAATCTCATCTGCAGTGATAAATGATGCTTCCATTTTCAATTTTCAGATAATTAAAGATTTTTATAATGCCACGTATTACGAGAGAAGGGGAGGTAACTGGAGCAATGTACAGGCGTATGCTTCATATCTTGAAGGCCTGAATAAAACAATACATGTATCAGACAGCAATGCATCAACAACCCCAGGTCCAGTCGAAAAAACGCCTGCAGATTTTGGGGCCGACGAGTCGCTGCTGCTTGAGAAATGGGAGCTGGAACTACTGTGGTCTTCAACTGTTGCTGCCTTTGTTTTGTTTGGAATGGTTGGCGCTTTCCTGGCACTTAAAGTTGCTGACACTGTTGGAAGGTATGTGTGAATTGTCCAGGGATTTATCACGGGTTCATCTAGGATTCAAAACAAAGTTGGGGGCAAATAATATTAGGTAAGCACCAGAGCTCCAGATAACTTTTTGAGCAATTGAATTTTTACTCTAGGATTTCTATTTTAATTTGGTTATTACATTTTTCATTGGGTAACCAATATTTTTTCACTCATCTATTCATCACTCTGTTGGGTTTTTTCCCCAAATTAGTTAACATTTTAAGATTTTAAAAAAATGAAATAATGTTTTAGATTTATGTAACTGTTCTAAATATATAGACTTGACTCAGAAACTAAATTAGCTTGTAATTGTGTTTCGGAAATTAGATCCTTTGTACGCATGCTGAAAAAGCTTCATTGGGTATTTACGCTAGCTGTTTTTATAATTTGAGTTTTATGCGTTTCAGTACGCAAGGTAATTGAAAGTATTTGGGTTTTTGAATATTTTTGGGGGTATTTTACACAAATACGCAGCTTATCTGTAGCTCTGAACACTGTTTTAGATATGTCAACACGGTATTTTAGCATTGCATATTAATGCAATTATGCAAAGTTAAAGCCTCTTTCTCATTGTCGGTCCTGTAATAAGTGAATTTAGTTTTGTGTCTTCGAATGTGAAGCAATAGAATTTAGTTGCCACAACATATTTTCCAAGGTAGTCATTTGGTTACCTCGGAATTTTAGACAGTAGACAAATTGAAATTTAGGTCGAATTGGCAACCGTTTTAGTCTCAACTTTAAGGCCTGAAAATACATTAAAGCACTGGACGTGCTATAGAAGGCTACAAATACAAAAGGTTGAGTTAATATTTGACATAAGAGTTGGTAGTTATGAGTTGAATTGAATTCAACATTATGTGAAGATTTTATGAGATGTCGAACAGCAAAATGGATACCAAGAAACTGCCTCTGCGTATCATCCAGCAATTTGTTATATTAATTTAACAAACATGATAGAATTCACATGCCAAGGACACTGCTCCATTTCCATGCATATGCAAGAATGTAGGTCCTGACTATGATATCGACCGTGGTTACGCAGCTCAGCTGTAACAATTCGACACAAATACTATGAGCTTGAACAACCAGCGCTAGCAAATATTGCTAGCTCAATAGTCAGTACCAGGTACATTTTCAAAGGGATTTGAAAAGCTACCTATTGATGAGGTCAATCCAACAGAAAACTTGAAATTTTAATCTCCTCCAATGTCGAAGGTTTTCATGTGAAAAAATGCATGGTTTTATTCAGTTCATATTTATGCCAAATTTAAACATTGAGAAATGGTTCTGAATTATAGCCCTACAGGAGATTAAAATTTCAAAGGGGACGCATGATTGTTTTTGTTTTTTGTGTCCTATTTTTTTCAGTGCATTTTTTTTGTAAATGGGACACCGTAAACGCAAACACTGAACTGTCAGTGAGAACTACGATCAGAATTTTTTGTTTGCCCACAACACAAATTAGTAGTCTCTGGTTGGCGTGAATTTCGAAGGCTGTGATATTTAAACTGTATCAGACTAATATGCATGATATAGAGAGGTTAAACAATACGCAAGGCTAAAAAATATGACTCTTATTTAGATCGGGCAGTGACTTGTCGGTTATACTTTAACTTTTAGATCTCATTTCAAACCTGTCACTTATACTCATTAGCATAATATTTGTTTTTTTGTTTTTTTTATGGTTTAATGCCGCACTCAGCAATATTTCAGCTATATGACGGCGGTCTGTAAATAATCAAGTCATGACCAGACAATCCAGTGATTGACATCATGAGCATCGATCCACGCAGTTGGGATCGATGACATGCATCAACCAAGTCAGCAAGCCTGACCACCCGATCCCGTTAGTCGCCTCTTACGACAAGCATAGTCGCCTTTTACGGCAAGCATGGTCGCCTCTTACGGCAAGCCTAGTCGCCTCTTACGACAAGCATAGTCGCCTCTTACGGCAAGCATGGTCGCCTCTTACGGCAAGCGTGGGTTGCTATTCTCACAGATACTGTGCATTTACTTGGAGACCAATTGAACAGAGCACCATAATAACCAATAATAACCAACAGAATGTCGTATTCCAACTTCCGAGGAACTTGAGTTTCATAGCTGTCTAGTTAAAACTTAATAAACATTATTATTAACACCATTATTTTTTTTCTGTTACAGAAAGCGTGGCATGGTAGTCATCACATTTATCATGTTCTTGGCTGCGATTCTCGGTGGAATAACAGTCATCGCCAAGTCTCCAGAGTGTCTCATTTTGTCTCGAGTCTTGGTGGGATTGCATTCTGGGTTAAATATAACTTTGGTGCCTCTGTATCTCACAGAGATAGCGCCAAAGAAAATCCGTGGAGCTGTTGGTACTTGTCATCAATTGGCCATCACAGTGGGGATTCTGTTTTCTCAGATCATGGGAATGACTGAACTTTTAGGTAATATTATAAATAATGGAAAATTATCATAAACAAATCGAGTTGCAGGAAATTTTTTATTTCTTCTTTTTATTATCTGATCAGAGATGGCTCGATAACTTTACTGTACTGTTCCGTACCGTTTTGAAACTAGACTTTAATATGGGCTAGCGGACACACTACCTCAGGAATATGCACCAAACCACACCATACCGTTATGTCAGCTTGCCCAAGCTGTGATTTTGCATCCATTTTGGTTTTGATATGGACTAGTTTGAGCTGACGTTCACTTGACAAAGAATTTGACTGAGATTCTATTCTGTTTATCTGGAACCCCCATTACAATGATCTTGTTTGGAATCTCTTTATATAAAAAAAGATTATTCTTTGCACAGGATTTAATTTTCCAAAAAAATGTTGATCATGTATATGTGTCATCTAAATTTATAAGGTTTCATATTTAAACTGTTATTACCAATCTTGTCTAGAAATGTTAGAATCATTTTTGGCCCTTGATTGCTATAGATATATACCTCACACCTTCACCTATTAAAGACTATATTATTTTCTTTTTCCAGTTTATTTTTATTTCGTTCATTCTCATAATATGGTGTTTATTTCTGTTTCAGGCACTGTTGACTTGTGGCCCCTATTGTTTGCCTTCAATGCTATTCCCTCCCTTGTCTGTCTCTTTGTATTACCCTTCTGCCCGGAGAGTCCAAGATGGATGCTCATCGCCAAAGACAGGGTAGAAGAAGCCAAAACAGGTGAGTTAGTCCTGTGGACATCGATTAAATTGTGATGATTTCATTGAATGCTTCAGACTTTTTCATAACCCTAGATTAAGATGTTATAGTCATCAGCCTAAGAAGCAAGTCTCAAGCTCAGTTGATTAAATCCTAACAATCATGGAATATTATATCAGATTTAATATTTGTTTCTAATTTCAACAGCCATGCAGAAGCTGCGAGGTTATGATAATGTAGAAGACGAGATGGATGAAATGAAGTTGGAAGCGATTAAAGCGAAGAAGTCCGATAAGGCAAACTTCACCCTGAAGGACCTCCTGACCACCCCGGAACTCAGGATGCCAACAGTGATAGCCTGTGTGGGCCAGATCAGCCAACAGTGGTCTGGCATCAATGCTGTAAGTCAAGTGGAAAAAATCGTACCCCAATAGGGACTGACCTGTGAAGATTCTGGGGTAGAATAGGTCTTCAACAACCCATGCTTGTCGTAAAAGGCGACTAACGGGATCGGGTGGTCAGGCTCGCTGACTTGGTTGATGCATGTCATCGATCCCAATTGCATGGATCGATGCTCATATCAATCACTGGATTGTCTGGTCCAGACTCGATTATTTACAGACAGCCGTCATATAGCTGGAATATTGCTGAGTGCGGCGTAAAACAACAAACCAACCAACAACCCAATAGGGACTCCAGGGTAGAAATGGTAGAGGGAGGGAGGGAGGATATCAATGTCATAAGTCAATATTATAGCTAAAATGGATAGAATTTTCATTAAACTGCCCGTATGTTATCAGAAATCAGCGGGCCACTGTAACTTGATAATGCCAATAAAACTGATATTTCTTTTTATTCGATAACAAATTCCATCCATTTTAGCTATAATAATGGTAACACTATTTTCCAGGGCATTATCAATTGCGGAAGCCCTAAGTCTTTTCAACTGCTCTCCTTTTTCGGGCAGTTAATGAAAGACCTCTGGCTTCTGCAAATGATAATTCAAATCAGACTCATAAACTAATGGCATTGTGCTTCCAGTTGAGATATCGGTCATGACTGATTTCCGTGTTTTTCACATTTCACTTTACCTGCAGGTGATGTCATACTCTGCCTTCATCTTTGCACAAGCAAATGTTTCTGCAACAAATATCCCATACGTTATTGTCGGCACCGGATTCGTCAATGTTGTTGCAACCATCATCGCTGTAAGTTACATTCATACTTACTACATGACCTGAAAAGAACTTTTTTAGTGGTGGTCTCAAAATCAGGTTACTGAATTATCTCCCTTTCCTTATGATGACTCCAGCTCTTTCCCAACGCGTGACACCTTCGTTAATCTTTGGAAGTCATGTTTGTTTAAAAAAAAGTAATTTCTGTATCATCTCAAGGCGGAAGTAATTGATTTGTAACATTCTTTGATTGCGTTCCTTGTGAGGATAACTCTAACAGTTTGTGACTTGGTGGTGTGACAGGTTCCTCTGATGGAGAAGCTAGGACGTCGTCCTCTGTTGCTGTGGCCGATGTGTGTCATGGCTGGGTCCTTCGTGCTCATGACCATCTTCCTGCAGCTGCAGTTTGACCCTTCAATGAAGGTAATTCTTTGTCCTGTAATGTCAAGTGTGATGTCAGTTAAACAGCCTTCGAAATTAAAGATCGTCAATTAGCCATGAGGACAAGTACAAACCCTTCCCTGAAGGTACGTCTTTGTCGTGTAATGTCAAGTGTGATGTCAGTTAAACAGCCTTCGAAATTAAAAATCGTCAATTAGCCATGAGGACAAGTACAAACCCTTCACTGAAGGTACGTCTTTGTTCTGTAATGTCAAGTGTGATGTCAGTTAAACAGCCTTCGAAATTAAAGATTGTCAATTAGCCATGAGGACAAGTACAAACCCTTCCCTGAAGGTATGTCTTTGTCGTGTAATGTCAAGTGTGATGTCAGTTAAACAGCCTTCGAAATTAAAGATCGTCAATAAGCCATGAGGACAAGTACAAACCCTTCCCTGAAGGTACGTCTTTGTCGTGTAAAGTCAAGCGTGATGTCAGTTAAGCAGCATTCAAAATTCACACAAGTCTGCTTGCCCAAAACTTCCAAGTTGTGCTGAGGAATAGGTTTTTGGTTTTGTTTGTTTGTTTAATGCCACACTCAGCAATATTCCAGCTTTATGACGGTGGTCTGTAAATAATCGAATTCGGGCCAGACAATCAAGTGATTGACATCATGAGCATCGATCCACGCAATTGGGATACGATGACAGGCATCAACCAAGTCAACAAGCCTGACCACCCGATCCCATTAGTCTCCTCTAACGACAAGCATAGTCGCCTTTTACAGCAAGCATGGGTTGCTGAAGACCTATTCTATCCCAGATCTTCACGGGTCTGAGGAATAGCGAAAATCAATTGATGGTATTACTCATTGACAAGTAGCCTATGAGGGATATATTTGTTAAATAATGAACCAGTTCTCAATGCTCCAGTTTTGATACAAATTGAATACAAAGCTTTAAACAATTGTTTCTGGTACTCAACCAGCAAAGGTTGATCAGTAATGTCTCTCTTAGAAAGTTTCACAAGATACAAATGATCTTCTTTCAGGACAACCATTCAACGTTTGCTATGATCTGCATCATTCTCATGCATCTGTACATCGTGGGATTCGCCCTTGGCCTAGGTAAGTTTATGTGTTTGCCTGGCACTTGAACACTTTATGTCTGCTGTGTTTACTGCACAGCTCCAGCTGTATCCTGAGTCCTTTTGCAACATAATTTAAGTAGTATGTCTCCAGTATGAGGATGTACAGTTGAAAGTCATTGACTAAATGTCCCATTTTCCAAGATTCAGTGTTGTATAAAAAGAAAAAGTGACTTAATCCTAATTTTTTTGACTGTGTGCATATTGCCTTCGTCAAAAGTGTAGCATCAGAACGCTTTCTAAACTGTGCCATTGCAACACTACATTGTAACATTCCAATTTAAAGATGTGGTAAGATATAATTTGACCCATCCCATTCTTCTCAGGACCTTACAAATTTGTAATCCATGAAACTGTTTGTGATTAACCGACACATTCTATTGTATGTTTAACATTACCCTACAGTTGTAACCCTCCTCCCAAGCTATAAGCTATAACCTTGCAATGTTCCAGGCCCCATCCCATTCACCATCGTCGCCGAGATCTTCACACAGGAATCTCGTGCTGCCGCCATGAGTCTGTCCGTTGCCTGCAACTGGATCTGCAACTTCATCCTCATGTGGACCTTTCCATTCCTCAGGGTATGTAGCAGGGATTGTGAAAATGTGGAATAGAATGACAATTCCAAGAATAGACCTGCCAATGAAAAAATTTAAGAGATGTCCGAATAGATCTATGATGTGTCCCATATTCTTCATGTAGATTGGACTTGGTGTTTGGATTGTCAAATCTTCACAGGCAGAGGTATCATGTGGCAAGGAAAGATCTTATTTTAATGACATTGTTTTAAAGGGAGACTACTCTCTGGTCTACCAACAGTCCTGACAAATTTCATTCAAGTCATTCAAACGGTCAATTTGCTTTTAATTCCTATCTCATGGTGTATGTCATCTAGCAGCTGATGAATCCAATAATTACACTCAGAAAAATTTAGACAATGTTCCAAATTGGCACAAGTCAGTTATTAAGACACAAAGACCGAAAATGGAACCAAAATTGCAGAGCATGGTCTCTCATCATTTTAAATTTCACCCTATGAACTGAACTATAGATTTCCCCAAAATTTTTTTTCAGTAATATTTTTTCTTTTATGTTATGTGTTTGCTGCAGGATGGACTTGAGGCCTACACCTACCTGCTGTTTGTGGTAATTCTGGTCGCTGCCATCATCTTCATATTCTTCTTCGTACCTGAGACGAAGAACAAGACATTTGAAGAAATTGCAGAATCCATCACATTTGGTGGAAGAGCTCATGGAAAGAGAGATGGCTTGAAAATCAATGAAGATGACAGTCTAATGGGCAACACGAAAGTTTGAGAATGGGAGAGTATAGATCATTGGACTATATATAGGATAGTTAGTATGTCAAACTGTAGGGAGATAAAAGGAAGAGCAAATGTGGTTTGGGGAGGGTAAAGGAACAGCTTACAGTTATGCTGAGAAGATTGCTGTTTCTTAAAATGTGAGAATATTGCCAGGGGTAGAAGGTTGCTGGTGGGTACAAATTAATTTGGTACATATAAATAAGCTATGTATATTTATTTGTTTGATTTTTGTTTGAGTGGAAATATTTTCAAAATATAATATTTTCAAAAGGGAGCATTTTGACAGGAATCCAACTTGGTTTCTTTGCGTGTTCTAATGTTGACCCAGCTCTCTGAGAAAGTTTGTGTGTAAAATTCACATTATATTGTCATGTGAAGTTCAGAAGGTTGGACCATGTAATGTCATGTCATGTCATGCAATTCACCAGAGCCATCAGTCACATCAAAATGGTTATATATTGCTAGAAAATGGCAACCAAAAGCAGACAATACTCATTGACTGAGTGTTTAGTTTTACTTGTGTACATTGTCATGCTCCTCCATTGCAACATGTCGCATTTACAAATTGCTGTACATACAACAGTCTTCGATAGTATGGGCATTGACTTTCTGCAGCAACGTCCATTCAGCTGATGACCGGGGAATTATTATGATTGCATTTTACTGAACCCGGGTCAGGCATTATTCATCATAGACAATATTACAGGGTATTTATGGAAGTCAAAATGTCCTATCTATGCGTGTCTACTGTTTGGTCAAGCCAGGTGACAAAGGTTCCCCCTGTCTAAGCCCTTCTGCAATGAGTGCTTAAACTAGATGAGAACTGAAACTAGAAGACTTAATAAGGGACTAGTCTGGGAGCTTGATGCTTTTGGTTCAGGTGGTGTATGGGAGATTTACATGACATCTAGACATTGTACCTCATACTTGAATGGGCCATTACTGGGGATGCTTGGGTGAGTTGGTACAAGGGCTGTTAGTGACTGTATAGATAGTATCTGTGAAGGGGAGTAGGAATGTTCTACCTAGGTGCCAAGGTGAACATCCGACAACTTGGCCTAAATTTGATGTCCATTCTGCTGCTGTTACTGAGCTACGGTCAGGGAGCAGGCAAACCAGAATAGCCCATCTGCTGACATCCAGGAAGGCAGATGTTTGGAGAAGTGACCAAAATCACAAGGGCAAGATGTCACAAAGATTGTTGTTGCCTAGCTCAAAAACTAAGACCAGGTCACATGGGCAAGATATTCACAAAACTGTGACCGGGGCCCACTTGCACAAATTGATCTTAGTGCTAAGATGATCATAACTCCCATACTTTAACATAGGCCTACGATGGTCTTAGCGCTAAGATTGCATTGTGCCCAGGTCACTTGGCCAAGATGTTCACAGTAACAAGACCAGGGTGTTCATGGAGTTGGTTGTCTGGATCTAGATAAGTGAAGGAGAATCATGCCATCACAAAGAACATTGTCTTCATCTGGATAACTAACTGTGAACCAGTCACAAGGGCAGGGTGTTAAACAACGGCGGTCGTCTTCTGTTTGTAAGACTTGTCAACAGTACCAAAGCATTTATTTAACTTTACCAAACGGAAGCCCTGATCACTATCAGAGCCATCCTTGTTCAGCGTATGTACACCCAAGTTTCTACGGGTTACACTCAGATCCATGACAGAAAGAACTGGGATATGAAACAAGCCGTTAATTGTCAGTATATAGATCAAAATATCCTGCAATCCAGTCAATCATCGGGGGATATTTTTTTCACATCAAACATGAAAATCGTTTTCACATCGTTACTATTGGGAGTATTATGTATCCAGTAGGCTACTGAATCTTAGCAACGTCATAACATCAACATGCACTGATATGTATATTTATGTTTTTGACCTTACATGACAGTACTCAACCTTCCTTGGTGTACTGATAACCTACATTTTTGAGGGAATATATCAAATACATTGCCTATTCAGAGTATTGGATGATGGAGTTTGTAACCAAGCATTGTTACTGTTTTCAAATGTTATCACTGAAAAGTGTAAGAGCAGCTTTATTTTTTCTATTGCCTGTCTGTTTTTGCAGATTCTATTGAGTAAATATATTTATCTCAGATCACAAAGAATGTTTAATCTCAACTTAATACATCAGGTAATTTCTTGAACCTGTTTTCATTTTGGTGTACCACTGATCATGACCTCGTTTTAAACTGAGAGCCTTTTGAATGATATAGACTGGTATAAGGTTGTATTTGTGCTGCATCACCTTCAAGGTGATTCAATATTTCAAAAAATCAAAAAATCTATTGTAGCCACATGGCATGTTTTGGATTGGTCCCTTTCTTTACCAAAGAAGTGAAACGAAGACCATATTTGGAAGATTTCCTATGTTTAAGAAATTTGTGAAATTTACAAATGCCTAAAAGCTTATAGCTTGCACTTTATAAAACTGTCGAGTCACAACTAATTAACTCAAGACTTCATCTCCGCATCAGTTTGTTTTATTAACATTCTCTATACTTTAAATCATTTTGGCCAGACAAATTCTACATTTTGTTGACCACATAATAACATGCGTCTCTGACGAGTCAGGTTTGAATAGTGATCATTTACAAAGAGAAAAATTCAGTGTAAAGGCATATATTGTTTTGAGAATACTTGTTGATTTTATTTGTATTTGTAAAAAAACATTTCTTTGAAATATGAAGCACTGGAAATTCATTTTCAGCTAACTTAATTTTAATTTGTTGTTTTGTTTTAGAATGTTGAAAAAGAGCTTATTGTGATGGAGATGTTAGAAGTGTCTCTCGTGTACCAAATTGTTGTCATCAATGTAAATAATACAAACATGACTTTGTTGCATGTGTATGCCATGTGAAACAGTTTTTAAGTCAGAACATGAATAAATATTATAAATAATAACGTGTGTTTGAACTGAACTTCGGAAGATAGCATGTTTCCATGTGCCTAACCTACATACTGAGAATTGAAAAATGGAAGTACTCTAAAACTTACCTTTACATATATATTTTCCTTAAAGTATTGCAATGTATGTTAAAACTTTGTTTGGTAATGTTGAGATATTATCAAAGTGACTCCAAAAGTTAACTTACTTTATGATCTCTATCAATGTACGACATGATGGTGCCTCATACCAAGTACCCAGCATACACCATTTTTATGGCCTCGACTCCCATGATTGATCACAATGTACGGGGGCCCAGCCCATCACACTGAAAATCTTGTATACTTTATCAAGTGAAAATCTATCTTCTAGCATCATATCATATCAATTGTTCAATGAATGTCGAAAGGTTCAAATTCCATTTGACTTTAGAATCCATCACCCTTTCTTAGATTAAACTTAGTTGAAGATGGAGACTTTTGATGAGCGATTTGTATACTTTATTGTTGTTGCGAATTTTTTTAAGGTTTTTACACAGTCATACTTTTAGCTTACATCCGCCAAGAGTTCATCTGTCAAATTTTGTTCGAAATATATTTTAACCCAGGGAAAATAATGGTCTGGCAGGTACACAGACATGTGGTGATTTATATCAAACATGTATACGAGTAATGAGGGCATTTAGATTTCACCTGTTTCATTACAGCAATTATTTATTGCTAATTCATACAAAACTGCTTTTGTGTAACCTGAAGAAGACCTGCTTATTGTTTCTATGTATTGCGTGAGTATGGTTTTACGCCGCTTTTAGCAATATTCCAGCAATATCACGGAGGGGCACACCAGAAATGGGCTTCACACATTTTACCCATGTTGGGAATCGAACCCGGGCCTTTGGCGTGACGAGCGAAAGCTTTAACCCCTAGGCTACTTGACCGCCCCTGTTTGTATGTAACAACATTTATGTGAATACCTTTCAAATGAAAGACCGAACATCATGCCCTTTTTGCTGCATTTTGTTGGAAAGCAGTTCCATTAATAAGACAGAAATCCTGTGTATTGCTATCATGTGTCATGCTGTGTGTTTAAGATTGATTATTTATTTTAATTAGTTTGTGATAAAAAGGTTATGTGCAGCTATTGGTATCATTAGGGGCACACCTCAAACGTTTGATTGAAAATGTCATATTGTTAACAACAAATTTTAGTTTGTAATTTTTTATGAGTTTTATTTCAAGGGTATCTTTACGTAATTTACCTTATTTTATGGTCATGTTTTGTGTATCTCATTACATAGACCGAGGCAATCCGCGAAACAATCTTTGTATGGCCTTAATATTTATTGCCTGTTTGGGTAGCAGTAAATTTCAGAGGCATGCTGAATCGTGATCCAGTGACCTTTAGAAGTAGATAATATTTCTCATAATGTTGTGAGCCGCCCCATGATTATCGGATATTAGAATTGGTCTTCAACAACCCATGCTTGTCCTAAGAGGCGATTGATGGGATTGTTGGTCAGGCTTGCTGACTTGTTTGATGCAGGTCATCGTATCACAATTGCGTAGATTGATGCGCATGATGTCAATCACAGGATTGTCCGGTCCAGACTTGATTAATTACAGACTGCCGTTATGTACTTGAGTACGGCGTTAAATCACAAAATAAGATAAAGTAATCCTAATACTGTAACTTCCTCATCATCAATCAAGAGATATGATTATTTTGGATGTTTTATCAACTTCAAATATCTAACTTTGTGATGTATTTTCATGGTGTAGTAGTTGTTCAATTTCTGGCTACTTCTGGTTAAATGTTGAAGGATGTATATGTTAAAATATTACCTGTAGCTGAAATGCTACATATTATTGTTCTAGTGTGGCTGTAGTGGACCTAGACTAAATGTGGCTTGTGTAGCTGCATACTGTTCAGTGCAGGCCCTTAACATGGATGATTATGACAATGTCATAACACCAGAATGCTTGTTCATATTATTCCCAATAAGATGTAAATATACATAATATGGGCCAACTGACCTACCACAGTAGCCCTGAACATGTGTTTATATCTTCAGTGCTATTGTCCCCCCAACAAAAAAGAAAAAAAAGGAAAAAGGTGTATGTTGTTGTTTGTAACTCAAAACCTATTGCTTGTTCAAGGGTCACTTGCACAAAGCGCTCAGCACTACTATTGTAAATCTATGTTAAAGCATGTGAGTAGCGATAAGAGCTGTTTGTGCTAGTGGACCAAGGGCCATGTATATGACAGCCTAGAGATGTGGATTTTTAACAGTCTTGCCCTTGATCTTTCTCATATGTACCCCATTTTGTGAGGTTGTTTTGACTGCTTTATGTAGATGCATGGTGTTTTTAAGGTTTTGTTATATGGTTTTCGATGTTAAGTTGTTTTATTAGATTGTAAATAAATGGATCTGACGTATATCTTTATCTTTTCCCTCTCATCCAGAATATTCATGAATATTTCGTTTAGAAGAAATAATATTTTTGAAGAACAGTAAAGCCAACACTTTTCAGGGGCCTTTTTTGTTTCCAGACAAATAAGAACAGATGTTTTTAATTAAGAGGTGACTCATCTTCTTTGTCCCCACAATACATCAACAATCCCATTTTGTGCTGATAGCATATTTCTTCTTAAAGTGAAGCAGAATAAATTTCATTTTGTCAGGGTTATTTCTCCCTGGAAAATCCTTGGCTTCTTGGCCGAGGACTCTCTCTTAAACAGGTTTAAAATGTGCCAAATTTAGAAGGCTAATGAGGGTGTCAAATGTCTGGTGAGTTCAAAATGTTGTTGATAATATTTGAGTAAATCATAAGTTTTAAAATATAAGCCTTTACTTTGCATATTGGCAGGGAAACCAATGGTTACTGAGTACTTGTTTTTTTAAAAGTGTGCTGTCTTTTGATTAATGATTTTATAAGACCAAGTAATTAATTTAGTGGACTCAAATGAATAGTAGTTGCATTTACCTTGATCTTGAATCAAGTGTAAAAAATGTAGCTTACTGTTAAGCTCATATACCATGTCTCTTTTACTGAAGAGGTAAACCACCAATCAATTTTACCAAGTGAGAATTCTGTTTTAGGCTTCAGCTTTGTTATTGATAGTTTTGAGGTATGTAGCATGTCCTTTTGGTATGTACCATCAATATGCATGTACAGGTTTAGCATACGGCAAGATTTATTTTATTTTTTCTTGCATGTAGTTAAATAAATATGTAATTTTAGTAACGAATATTAAGTACCCCCTTCTAAAGAAAACGCTAAAAACAAACCTAAAAATCAAACAAACCAAAAACAAACAAACAAACACCCCGTTCAATGATTACATATTCAAAATTTGGTTTAGGCTTATCAATAAAACAAGCAAAAAAGTCTGGCCTCAGATTATTTGTAGATACATGTAGTATGGTGGTGTAAGACTGCAGTGTACTGTGCATGTTTAGTAGGAGCCAGTGTTACCAATGTTGCTGTAGACATACCACTGACGGATTATATTACATATACACAAGATTGTTGATACCCTCAAACTGTGATGTTAGTTGCTGTCATGTTGTGTTGATCTCCGGTAAGGGACAGTCCATTTAATAGTGTAGGGGTGCCTGGGGCACTGCTTCAAAACATTAAGCTTTTTCTCAGAAAAAGATCAGCCAAACAATTTCGATCTTCCCGAGGCAAGAGAGATAACTGACATAAAAGACCAATATCCACTTTTAGAGCCAGTTAACTCCCGTGCCTCGGAAAGATGAACAATTTCATTTTCTTAACAAGTGTTTTTTTTTCAGGATGCGCTGTCCATATTTATTTTTGTGTTTAAAACTTTATAATGATTCTCAGGCCCCCTTGCCGGATAATCAGATAGTCAGTCCCTTATGTTGCAAAGAAACCTAATAAAGTGAAAATAAAGGAAAAATGGCTTATTTTTTTCACTGAAACTATATGGCAGTGACTGCTGGTAACCAACCTCTACAGAAACAATACAGTTGCCATGCAACTGCTGGTTTGGCGGTGAGGAACTGAGGGATTGTTAGATAGCCATGTACTTGAGATTAAAGATCTCAGTTTAAATTCAATCCCCACAAGTTCAACTTAGTAAGGGATCCTGGTCAGACATGTTACCCAAAGCATCTTGCTTCGGGTGAGTACAGACTTAAATTAGAATTGGGCGATAACTTTGTGTTAACCCTGGTATTAGATTGTTGTTCATGCTATCCTGAAAACCACGTGTTTTCTTGGACAGTACTTGTTTATGTAATTGCCCTAGTGAGAGTGGGTGAGTGAGTTACTTTGAACAGTATTTCAGCTTGTTGGTTTAATGAGGGAGGAAAGTCCACGTTGAAGTCTCAAGTCAACGTGTGGGGTGTAGACTTGTGTGCTGGTTCTCTGTAAACTATGTTTGGTGACTTAAGTTTTGTACCAAAATAATACCGTATTCGACGTAATAAGCGCCCCGCTCTAATAAGCGCCAACGGCGATATTTGCTAATATATTGGCCATTGAACAATCCTAATTAGCACCCCTTCCGATTGATCAAGGAACCCAAGACTTATTTATTCGCGTATTAAACGCACTCATGTATAATATGCAAACTTAACTATGGGCAATTAAATTCTGGAAAAATATATCTTTCGTACATAAACATTTCAGGCTGTCAGCATAAACCACGAAATTTATCTTTTAACTCTGTTTTTTCCCCACTAAAATAATATTCCAATAAGAGCCCCCTATTTCTAATTTTGAGAGCTCTCCGAGCGCTTATTACGTCGGATACGGTAATCATTGTTCGGATAGATTGACACCCTTGCATTGTATCTGCTGTCTGCGGGTCCAGGAAGCACGAATCACCAATTATGTAAGTGGTTAAACTCTGTTTGAACTTTGGTCTGTTAACACCACATATCCCATACACACCAGTCGGCACAATTCTATGGCTGGCAAATTGTCTGGCTGAAAGGCTGTTGTATAGCTGAAATGCTGTTTAAAGCGGCGTCAGCCCAAATCACCTAGAAACATGTGCACACGCAGGCCAAACTGAAATCCCTGATCATGTGCACTTAGGCACCTTAGTCCTATCGTCCTTGCCAAACTACCCAATAGTTAAGGTATCCTGGGGACTAGCGGAAATTTGCGCTTTTTAACGGTTTTGTATATGTTATCATTATAAGGACTATCTGGCTAAGCCTGTCTGTTACTATCGCTGCAACATGCTTGGATGGATTACCTCCCATGTGTTCCGGTTTATTGATCTCGACAAGTCCACGCTCGCGTCGTGTTCAACTTTCCTGCATATGCAGGCCGTCGTGCTTCAGTAGGTAAGTGGAAATCCGATTGTCCCGGCCTCACGTGCACTGGACAGGAACCCTGCATAAATAAAAACATAATTGAGGTTTTTGATGCACTAATGTTGTCTTATTTTGTCATATTTGAAATGACAAATGACCCCCTCCCCCAACACACGCGCAAGCACACACACACACACACACACACACACACACACACCAAACCCCATCCCGTAATGAATTAATAAATGAGCGGTCCCTTAATATTAATTATTTATGTAGATTTTTACTTTTTGCTTAGATTCTGGGCGAAATTAGTTGGTGTATATACTATGGGGAACAGGTAAAGATTTGCTCGGCTCGGTTTATTTGAACTCGGCTGGAGAGCATTCCACTGTCCGGATGATTGGCAAATGGCTCTAGCTGGGCTAGCAGACGACACACTATTCTAAGATGCATTGAAAAAGACAACATTTGAAAGCTTACTTCTAAGCATAAGGGCTTCACATTTTATTAAGACTTTATGTCTCTGTAACAATTTTTCAAAATAATGCAGATTAATTAATACAAAATTAATAATACTAACTAAATATGAATTTGTGCATGTTGTAATATCCTACAGAATTAAGAATCGTATTAAAAATGCCAATTTTAGAAAAAATATCAATAAACTCCCTACCTCTCTCTATGAAATAATTACCAAACTGTTATTTGTAATAATCTGAAGGTATATAATAATGACAGTAATATCATAATTAAGTTTATATTACTAATCCTAAACTGAAGTAGTCCTTCAACACTATACATTCTAGGAAGAAACCTATGAATCTATTTTTTTTAACATACTGTAACATTTCATTATCAATAATTATTTTGCAACCAATACTGGAAACAGTGGAGTACACCAAGTACATGATAATTATATCTTCTTGGGACACTGGTTACTACTTCCAGTAGAGACCTGTAAAGGTCTTCAGCAAACCATGCTTACCGTAAAAGGCGACTATGCTTGTCGCAAGAGGCGACTAATGGGATCGGTGGTCAGGCTCGCTAACTTAGTTGATGCATGTTATCGTATCCCAATTGCATGGATCGATGCTCATGATGTCAATCACTGGATTGTCTGGTCCAGACTCGATTATTTACAGACCGCCGCCATATAGCTGGAATATTGCTGAGTGCGGCTTTACACAACAAACAAACAAAAAAAAAAAAAAAAAAACTTCCCGTAGAGAGAAGATTAGGTGAATCTTCTCTCTACGGGAAGTTTTGTTTGTTTGTTTGTTTGTTTGTTGTGTAACGCCGCACTCAGCGCTCACAACTGGAACTGAAACATTAGAGACCAACTCATTTTATGAAGTGGTGCTCACAACTGGAGCTGAAACATTTGAGTCAAACTCATTATTTGAAGTGGCGCGTCACAACTGGAGCTGAAACATAAGAGACCAACTCATTATATGAAAAGGCGCATCACAACTGGAGCTGAAACATGAGAGACGAACTCATTGTATGAAGTGGTCCTCACAACTGGAACTGAAACATTAAAGACCAACTCATTATATGAAGTGGTGCGTCAATATTGAAGCTGAAACATTAGAGACCAACTGATTATTTGAAGAGGCGCATCACAACTGGAGCTGAAACATTAGATACCAACTGATTGTATGAAATGGTGCATCACAACTGGAGCTGAAACATGAGAGACGAACTCATTGTATGACGTGGTCCTCACAACTGGAACTGAAACATTAAAGACCAACTCATTATATGAAGTGGTGCGTCAATATTGAAGCTGAAACATTAGAGACCAACCTCATTTTATGAAGTGGTTCTCACAACTTGAGCTGAAACATATGAGACAAACTGATTATTTGTAGTGGCGCATCACAACTGGAGCTGAAACATTAGAGACCAACTCATTGTATGAAGAGGCGCATCACAACTGGAGCTGAAACATGAGAGACTAACTGATTGTATGAAGGGGCGCATCACAATTGGAGCTACAACACTAGAGATCAGCCAGGAGTTGTACAAAGCGATATTAGCGCTAAGGTGATCGTAGCTCCCATGCATTAACATAGACTTACGACAGTGTTAGGGCTAAGGTTGATTTGTACAACGGCAGCATGGTCATTCTACCAGG